GTGCGTTTGTTGTAGCTTCTTGTTCATGTCCCTGGATTTATCTTGTTCCTTATTTGGTATCATTTCGGTTGTCCTGTTTCAATAAATGTTTACTGTACTTGGATCCAACGCCTCTTGTCTGCATAAGATTATCGGAGAACATCTTACAAGTCTTTCTACCACAGAATTTCACGTTGAATTAAATGTGCTACTTGCTGTTTCTTTGTGAAATTTACTTGCAATTTCTTGAGGGAATTTTTTTTCCACACCAAATTATTTTCCGCACAGTAAAACAAAGCATGTAAATCCCCTCCCCTATTCATGCTTTTGAGAGAAGGGAAATAAGATAAGCCATTTTCCCAAATGTTTAATCATTGGAAGCTGTTTTGCTCCCTGCCAATGATTTTCGTGATTACACGAGTCAGAGGGAAAAGGCATTTGCACGCTAACTTTTTCCCAACACCTTCACACTTCCCTTCACACTTGCCACAACCAAAGTTGAAATCATAATGTAAAATTCTAAGATGGCCAGTTGTTTATATCATAATTATAGATGTAAATATTCTTCTTCTTATTATGTGTCACAATAAAGTTCACATTTGGTCCCTTTCTTGACAGAGTCACTTTTTTCTTGAGTCACATGAACAGGACACACACACAGGCCTTCAGTAATTTTAGCAATTAGAGCCCTGTCCCGTCAACCTGTTCTGGACTAATGAGACACTGGTTGTTTTCCAGTTTTTCCGGGCACATTCTCCACACCACAATCTGTTAAAAATATACTACAGCGGGTTTTTTTTCACGGTGCCTCTTTTTTCTATTTTCTAATTGGATTGGAGAACAATTTGAACATTTGTGCTTTTTAACATCTCCATTCTCCACACACCTCTGCCTTATTTAGTTTCAGTTTTGCATTTGCCGATGCCTAATATTTGTCACCTGTCTGGTTTCACTAAGGTCATTAGATAAGGAAATTGTGAAATTATTGTTAAGGTAAACATCACATGCAGTTGAACCTGTCGAGCAACAGATGAGTGCCTTTTTCATTCACTGATTACATCCTATTCCTCTTTTATTAGGGATGAGAGGGGCCTTTTCACCTTTAATGGACAGAATAATGGAGGAGCTCAAGACCAGGAAAAAAATTTTATTGTTGGTTTAACTTATAAAATGAAGTAACCTGGCTAAGTAACCGTAAAATTTTAAGTTCATTGAAATGGACAAATTGAGTTGATACAATGGAGATTGATTTTTATCATCAGAAACTCAAAATATTATGTTATCTGAACCACGTAAATAATTTAAGTTGATTTGACAAAATAAAAAAATGTTGTGATTACAAATCATATTTTTTTTACAGTGTGTGTCTTTTATATCTCCATAGATTTTAACCTTATTTTGCAATGCAAGTGCAATATTTTCTTTGAATGCACAAGACTTCTGATTCATTATTTGCTATACGTAAATAGCTAAAACAAAGTGCACTAAACTGCAAAGCTATTTGTGATACAAACCAGTGTGTTTATTATTATTATTACGGTATAAATGAATACAATAATTATCAGTTTACAATGGAAGACAGCATAAAGGACTGGATTTGTACAGGTAAAATAACTGGAAGTGAAATGATAAGGTGAGTAATTAACTGGAAGTAAAATGACACCGGAAGCCTTTTCACACTTCAAAAATAAGATGGATTTATTCTCAGAACATTGGCAAAATACCCAGGTAGACCAAAATGAGTTTGTCATTGTGACTCGACAGGTTCACCTTCAACACCTCACAAAATCCCCTTGAGTGTGGGATCGGTTAGATCAAATGTTAAAACTTAGGGGTTTGACAATGGCATTGTGTTTTGTTTGAGCTTGGAATATCCCAAGAAAACAAAAACATTTGCACAAAAGACCTTTGACATAATTTCTGCATTCCAACATAGTTGTTAATGTCCGGAAGACAGGAAATATGTCCTTTCCCTTTGGCCTGGTGCTTATACCTATATAACACGCTTTTACTTTCACAATTTTAACGATTTTATTTAAAGCACATTCTTTTTGTGTTAATAATTCGCTAAAATGGGAATTAGAATGTAGGTTGGTGTTTTCTTAGTCTCCTTTCTCTGTATTTACCGCCTACCACCTATTGTTTTATGATGACCTTTGTGGTGTGAACTCCAAAAGATGTCATGTTTAGCACATATCAATCATCCAAACCACTTTCATTTCCAAGCGTAGGTGAAAACAGAAATGGGTTACAGGAATTAAACTGGATGGAAAGAACAGAAGAGTTTTCAACAGGTAAACTGTTGGTGGCTTTCCTAGTTCCAAACAATGGCTGATTCTTTGTGCCATTAGATTAAAGTTTCATTTCATGTTTTGCGGGCTGAACCAGTAGGTCTATATTCAACAAGGCCATTGTAGTAGTTTCATTGAATTACTGAGTTGCTGTAAGGATACTCTCCATGAGGCAAATCCCTGTGTCATGAGTGAATTATTTACTGTGGGTTGTATGCATGACTCACATCTGGCTGAAAAGAGAATAATGTGATGTCAAGTTTAACAGTTTAAGGAAATGAGGATTGAGAGATCTAGAAAACAGGTTGTTAAATAATACTTTTGTAAAATATGGCTCCAGTAATACACAATAAGCATTTTTTAATCACACATAATAAGTATGATTTTTCTATTGGTTTTCTATTAACCGCAAAATAGTATTTTGTGGTTTATTTAATAATACTAATTAAATGTTAGTATTAAATGTGATATTATAAACACATTTAAAACAAGCAAATAAAGAAAAATAAATATTACAAAATAATCACATCATTTTCCTTTTCATGCATAATCAGGGGAGTAACCTATGCTTAAATATAATATAATTGTTCAATATAATATAATAAAATATAAAATACATTGTCCAGATGTTGCATTTAAAAACATTGTCAGGTTTTTGACAGAGACTTGAGTCACTGATAGCAGTCAAATGCAGTTATTAATGCAGTTAGTGAAAGATTGAAAGAGAGAGAAATTAAGAATTACCAGTAAACTTATCTGCTTCAAGAATAATGCAGTTTTTACATTGCTAGTGAGAAATTTAATGTGGCTTTTAAGTTGCTTAACTATTTTCCTGATAAAATTTTAATAAAATGTAATTTTGTGGCAAAAAACATGGAAATAATTTGTCTTTTTATCCTTTTATTTACTATATATGTATATATATATATATAATTGTTATAAATATATTAAATATATATTATAATAAATATAGTATATATATATATATATATATATATATATATATATATATATATATATATATGTAAAATGATTTTTTACAATGAAATAATTTTGTAGCAAAAAACATGGAAATAATTTGTCTTTTTATCCTTTTATTTACTATATTTATTATAATATATATTTACTATTATAAAAATAATATATATATATATATATATATATATATATATATATATATATGCAATGATTTATATCTTAGTTTTCTCCTATATTATGGGACATTCCTGATGGTCATACTAATGACTCTTTGTCTGATTGTCTGACGCACCAAAAAAAAAAAAACAGCCGCTTGACAAACTATTTCACATTCAAAACAGTTAGTTTGAGAATACGTCAGGATTAATGTAAACAAAGGATGTGATTTTAAGAGCATTGCTTTTCTTTCAGATAAATATCTGGAACAAGCAGTCTCTGAGCAATGCATCCTGGAAGCACTGTGTGGGTTTTGCCAGCATTTTCAATTATTTATATCCATGTTGTAAGAAAGACAGTTTTGTGTATATATGGCACAAGAGTTGAGTAGAATTTCAAGCCAAGGAAAATGGAGATTAATTGCTCATTTATGCCAATATAAGCAGTGTTTCAACCCTCATGCCATTCCAATCCAGACTTTCATTCATCTTTGGAACTCAAATTAAGATATTTTTTCATGAAATCTGTGAGATTTCTGGTCCTCCATTTACACTACCACTTTGATGGTTCTACAAAAGGTTCATAAAGAGATCATAAAACTAATTTATATGAATTGAGCAGTTTGGTCCAAATTTTCTGAAGAGACATCACTTTATATGATGAACAGATTGAATTTAGGCTTTTATTTGCACATTCACAGAATGACATAATTTTCACACAAACTATCCCTTTAAAATAAGGTTGTTAATGGGCATTAATGGTACCATGAAGAACCTTGAATATACGTGTAACCAACAAGGTTCTGTTTGTTGCAAAAAAAATGGTTCTTCAATGGCATCACTTCGAAAACCTCCTTTTGGAACCTTGATTTATTTTTTTTTATAAATGTAACCTGTCTCAAGCCCCATGTGGATTGACATTGCACATTTAAAGATGACAGGCAGAAATATACACTGAGTCAGATGAGGTTTTAATGGAGTTTCCAAAGCTGAACTCTTCTTTTGTTTGTGCTTTGAGAATAAACCATGTGAGGAAATTGCTCTACCCCAATGGTGAAATGTTTTTTTCTTTTTTTAAAGGAGTGCACAAACATTTATAGTATGCTCTTCTCTAATATGTCAATACAATTATGTTGACTTGGAAAAAGGGGCGCACTTTTGAGCCCCCCATGAGGGTATGATTTTTCTCACTAAAATGCTCAATATTAACCAGTTGCATTGCCATGCAAAGGCAGGGTTTTATAATGTGCTTAACCTGCATCACAAGGTCGGTGACATCATAGATGTTTCCCTCTGCAACCAGTGTATTTACAAATATTCCACTTGGCACCAAACCATCCTTGAATTAAACACATTTAATGAATGTTTGGAAAGAAGGATTTTCAATAAAATTAACCAAATCCTGTTTTAAAATCACCTAGGAACTGTTTTGTAATTTTAACTCTGTTATATAATGCAACATAATGATGAACAAATGGCATCTATGACTTGTGTCCTCATCATGAAAATATGCAAAAACATCATGAAAGTCCCTGCATCCCCATGCGGCGTAATATCCCAAGCACAAACTGGTCAGTTGACATTTTTTGACATGATGAAATTTTTCAGCAAGTGAATTGTTAACGTAAGATCCCCCAACACTTTTACTTTAGTAATATGTTCTAGAAGCAAGCAACTATAATGCAACATGAAATGTCATTGTTTGGAATTAAAATCTAAGTTTGCAAATTCCCTTTGCAAAACGTTCCAGGTGACAGTTACTTTAGTGTTTGTACAAGGGAATTATATAAGGCCTCTATTCATTGGTGATAATGATGGCTTCCAATGGGAATGTATTCATAATTAAGTCCACAGGGAATGAATAAGTTCAGTTCACAGAGAACTTTTCAGCTGCCAACTTCACAACTGTAAAACTGCATTTTACCTGAGGAAAGACAATTATGAATTTTTTATTATGGCTTTCACAAATGTAATAAAATGAATAGCTTTTAAATGATTAAGCTCTACAGCAGAACCAAGATCAAACATGAAAATAGGAAATGTATTCCTTTTAAGACCTCACAACTAGCCTTGGTTTGCTTAAACCAACAACACATGTCAAAACTCATTATTAGAGCAAAAAAAAAAAAAAAAAATTCCTTATAAGCATGCAGTGAAAAGTGTGCCAAGAGGTAAAGTGTCCCTCTCATTCAGAAATTGCTATAATATACAGTTCTTCAAAACTGTTATGGCAACTTTCCATAAGACAAAGCTTCTTCTGGCCTTTATTGTAAGTGTTTGTGTTCGAGGTCATCATTTTGTCCATTACTAGAAATTCTAGAAGGGCTTGTGTTTGAGCCTTTTTTTTTAATTTGGTAAAAATGTTTCTCTCTCTCTCTCTCTCTCTCTCTCTCTCTCTCTCTCTCTCTCTCTCTCTCTCTCTTTCTCTCTCTCTCTCTCTCTCTCTCTCTCTCTCTCTATTCCTTTTGAGATATTTAACATGTTTTGATATTCAACATGTTACCATCTGGCAGTGATTGTCATGTCATGTCATGTTTATTTATAAAGCACATTTAAAAACAGCTTCCGCTGACCAAAGTGCTGTACATATAAAATCAGTTAATCAAAACAATCTCAAAATAATAAAATACAATGGATCATTACGTAATAGAAAATAAAACATAGTAGAACGGCCAAAGTAACCTGCTTAAACAGTGTTGAACGCTATGGAAAACAGGTGTGTTTTTAGACTGCTTTTAAATTGCTCAACAGATTCTGCGGATCTAACGGAGATAGGTAGGCTATTCCAGAGCCGTGGTCCTACCACTGAAAACGCTCTGTCCCCGCGGGTGATGAGCCTAGTTTTCGGGACAGTCAAAAGGAGCTGATCCGCTGACCTTAATGCTCTGGCGGGGGTGTAAGAGTACAGCATATCGGAAAGATAAGGTGGTGCAGTATTAGTTAAACATTTAAAAACTATTAATAAAATTTTAAACTGCACTCTAAAAGATACAGGGAGCCAGTGTAATGAGGCCAGTACAGGGGTAATTTGGTCCCTCTTTCTTTTCCCTGTCAGAAACCGAGCAGCCGCATTCTGTACCCCTTGGAGGCGGCGGAGAGAGCGCTGTTCGAGTCCGCAGTACAAGGAATTACAGTAGTCCAGCCGCGATGTCACGAAGGCATGGACTGCTCTCTCTAGGTCTTTCTTGGGGAGATAGGGCTTGATTTTACTTAAAAGTCTTAAATGATAAAAGCTACTCTTTACCACTGCACTGACCTGTTTGTCAAATTTAAAACTACAATCAAGAATCACTCCTAAATTTTTTGTGCTTGAGCGAGAGTTTGTCTGAGAGATTGTGTTTTTATGTTCCAGTTTTGATTACATTTTGATACAATTTTGGATTTTTTTTTTTTTTTTTAAAAACATAAGCCTAGAATTAGCTGTTGTTTCATTCAATATTCCCACATGACGATGATCTTGTGCTGAACAAGTATCCTTTCGTCATCTGCAGCCTAGAGTTTCCCCAGTAATTTGCCTGTAAAGCAACTGGCCAGACCAAGCTCGCAGATCAGTCACACATTGTCAAGACAGTCTTAATTTTGATAACTAACGCAAACATGCAGAAGTACAAACAAAGGCTCTGGCGCCATCCAGTGTATCAAAAAAGACTCTATCGACATTCTGTAAAAGTGCCAGAGCCTTTTTGCCTTCAAATTGTTTATAATTAATTTGTGCTGAGACTGTGCGGAAATTTGTAAAAGTTGAACTTGGATTTTTTTGTTCATGTATGATATTTACAATTTTCTTATTGGGATTCTTTAGGATTTTTGACAAGGGGGCTCCCTATTAAAAACCTTAAATATTGCTGATTATTTACAAAGCATTAAATGGTTTAGCTCCCCAGTAGCCTACTTAATCGAGCAAAGTTCCGGCCAGTGGATAATAGGCCTACCTATCAAAATCGACTGCTGGCGTAAGATCCTTTTCCTACATGACACATTAGACTCAACATAATTCAATGTCATCATATGAGACACACAATTAGATAAATTAATCTCAAAACTGATTTGACAGACAAATTTTCACAAATGTTGATATTCAGATGTAATGACAACATTAAAAAGTTGTATAGGTCCAAAAAAAAAAAGAAGAAAGGTCGCGGCTTATATGACCACTGAAAATGTGGGCCCCATGGCCAAACCAGTTGAGAACCACTGTCCTACAAATTCGGGTCATGTCAGTTCCTGAACGCGATGAATTACGGAATACGCTTTAGCCTCTAATACCCCTCCGAAATGGTGCATTGTGTTGCGTGAGTAGTAGCATATGGGTAGTAGTCTTTCTTTTACCGTCTATGGTTGTAGTGTGTGTTGTACACTCGCTTAAACTGCACTTCGCTTTACCATTTTAGACCTGGGACAATCTTGCACTAATTTCCTGTTGTGTGCACGCGTTGTCAGTGACCAAGACCACATGTCGATGTGTGGGTATTTGGACAGGCCCACTGCTGTTATTACGGTTTTAGTTTTATTTTCAAGAACATTTGTCACTTCCTGCATCTGAATTCACTTGTAAAAATCATGTATCTCTTAAACAAAAGCTAAAAATAATTGTTTTGTCTAGAAAAGTTTTTGCACGTTTAAATGTTGATAAAATATGAATACAGCCGAGCTGTACAATATGTACAACGAGCACACTCAGGCCTTAAAGAGAACAACCAGAAAAATGGAGCATAGCTGGAAGAAAACTAAACTAGAGGTATTTCGGATTTCGTGGAAGGAGAGCTCGATCGCATACAGAGAGGCCTTAAAATTGCTAGATACAAATAAATTCTGTAAAAACAGAGATTCTAGTTATTGGACAAAAAACTTCCACACGTAATAAAGAATACCGTGTAACAATTGATGGCTTCATCATCGGTTGGAACCTGGGTGTTCTCTTAATCTCGCATTTGAAAATTATGTCTATTATCTGTAAAACCGCATTTTTCCATATTGAAAATTTATCTAAATTACGCCATATGCTCTCATTGACAAATGCGGAAATATTACTGTAGTTCATGCGTTCATGACATCAAGGCTAAATTATTGTAATGCTCTACTAGGTGGACCCTCTATGGTGGACCTTCGCCTGGACCCATCCCAACTCATCCTTAAGTGTCAGCCTCATCAACACGTTAGCCATCGGCACTGATCCTCAACAACTCGTCTCCATACCGGCATGAATACTTGGTCTTCCAAACAGATGGAAATAGATAAATACTCTAAATGTTCTGATCCAATCTGACTTGTAATGCTGCCCGAATCATACACTGTTCCTTTGTTGGCCAGAGGAGAACTGGCACCCTACTGATGGTTTCTCCCAAGGTTTTTTCTCCATTCTGTCACCTGATGGAGTTTTGGTTCCTTGCCACTGTTGCTTTGGCTTTTGGCTTGCTTAGTTGGGTACATTTAATATTCATTATTGTTCTGCCTTAAGGTGGACATTGACGCAGTTTTCTTCAAGAAATAAACTTGTTTTATTATTTTCATGATATCACTGTGAAGCTGATTTGATAATCTGTATTGTAAAAAGCGCTATAAATAAAGGTGACTTGACTCGACAGTCACGCCGTAAAAAATATTTTAATTACTTTTTATTAATACAATTTTTGGCATCTTGTTATTGGCTAATTACATGTCGAACACAAACGGTTCTCGGTTCAATCACTGTACTGATTCAGTCCAATTCATAAATGAATCATTCAACCGCTCAGACGTGGATTCATTGAAAAGATTCGACTCAAAAGAATCGAATTTCGTTTAGTGGGCGTTGTAATCTGTGTTCAGAGGACAGAGCATGAATTATTCTGAGCGAGCAAGCACAAGAGACACCAGCGGCGCGTGCAAACATCCCGTTAACATTTAGCAACTTTTAAAATCAAATTTTTAATTTTTAATGTGGTGACTTCTTAGTTTTCATCCGTTTTTGCTCTCATTTATCTGGATATGGGATAAATATTTAAATGCTGTAGACATAACGAAATAAAATGGGTTCGTCGAGCTCCACCCTTTTAAAAATCCCGAACGTCGAGGAGTTGGTGCAAGAAACGGGCTGTGAGTTAACGTTACAGTTGTGTTTTAGCTATTACTGGCGTTTGGTTATTGTCGCGCTTGAACGATTAAGTTAAACAACGATATCAAATAAAAATTGTATCCTGAACATTTGTACTAACATTCAGTTACATGTGTTCAATAAAAATATCTCAAAGTTTGGGTAAACATTCGGGTGCATCATGTGCAAAGACTGTCCTAGATTGACCGTGACAGCTGTTTAGCTCACGAGATTTACTCACAGTTGCAAACCACCGATAAACAAATACACACTGGGTATTGCACAAATAGTGTGTATACTATCGAGCAATCTAGAAATAAAAATGCACCAGTGAATGTCATGAAGTTTGTTTTAGAGGGGAATTGATTAAATGGTCAATTCAATTTGTATATGGTCCATTGGAATTGATGCACTTGTTTGTTATTTGTTGAGTCATGATGCTACAGGGCTTCAGTGAAACATAATTCATGATATGTGATTTCACTTTTTCAGTCTCGCCTACCCACATTATTCGTCTGTATGATCGCTTCAAAGTTCTGGATAAAGAAGGACGAGGTCATCTCTGGTGAGCCTGATGTTTAGACCGATGTCTTATCCAGAAATCTTACCTCAGTTAAGATTTCACTTATAACTAAAAAATATTTGTCCATTCCTCCTGTCTCGTTCTCACATAGCCCTCAGGATTTTGAAGCCATAAAGGAGCTGGCAATGAACCCCATAAGAGACAGAATAATAAGTGCCTTCTTCTCCCCAGGGTGAGTGAATCTTGGCATAAGCTACAAAGTAATATTTTAGAGGATATCAAATAATTGATGTGAACATTGAAGTCTTGAATGTTGGAATCTAACATTAAGCACTCTTAACTGTCTAACACAAGGCCCGAACTGTCTATTTAAGTATTTCTTTCATGCTGACCTATTACTGTGGTAGGCTATTATTTCAGATATCACCACCCTTAAACAACTTTTTAGTCAATTTGCCTTTTGTTTAGACTGTTAAATCTAGTTTGTTATCTGGAAATCAGTTCCGAAAGACGGCATGTATGCGTAAATACATTTCTAAAAAGCTATTTTTCAGTTCATAAGCAGTGATTGTATCCTGTTGATATAATAATTTTGTCATTTTCAGAGAGGTAACCGTGGACTTTAACACGTTTGTGAAGATCCTGGCGCATTTCCGGCCTGTTGACAAGGACCGACCCAAAGACCCCAATTCTCCTGAACCCATTAATAGCAGGAGCAACAAACTCAGATGTATGCTTGCTTTCCCTTTTTCCTGGTAGATTAACCACATCCTTTCAGTAATGGATCGGATGATGTTACTATAGAGATAATGTGCTCAGATGGTCAATAACAGAGATATATTGGAAGGGTTTATTTTATGATAATGACCATCTGACAGTGCAATATCCTGCTTATTACATTGATGTTTACCAAATTAATAATAAAAAAAAAAATAATCGATGTGAAATATTGATTTGAGTTAAAATGACTTCTCATTGAAATAATTCATCTCACCTGGTTCTTCATTCCTGTAGTTGCGTTTCAGTTGTATGACCAGGACAAGGATGGCAAGATTTCCAGAGATGAGCTTTTAAAGGTCAGTGGTTTCTTCATTCTGCTGTCTTCTCACAAACTGGATATGACTGACAGCAGACTGATTGACAGGTTCTCCGGGACATGCTAGGGATGCAGGTGACAGAAGAGCAGCTGGAGAGCATAGCAGACCGCACTATTCAGGAGGCAGATCTAGACCATGATGACGCAATATCTTTTGAGGAGTTTCGTAAGGTATCGGCTAAAATTCTGCATTTGTGGCTTTTGAAAGCGCCAGTGTAATGTGATTGCTAATAGTTGTGTTTCGACCTGTTTTTTTATATTGTATCAGTCTTTGGAGAAGGTCAACATTGATCACAAGATGAGCATCCGCTTCTTGCGCTAGACTAGAGCATCATGGGAAAGCTTCTATACCAACTATGCATGCCTCTACATCCATGTCTCAGAAAATGGAAGGAATATGGGAAGACACTGGACAGCATGATGGGATAAGCCTTCGTATGTCTTACAGGACTTTAATGCACTGGTAATGTCTAAAAACTTCACATTGACAAATGATTTACACTACCTTTCAAAAGTTTGGATCAGTAATGTTATATGCTTTGCTAGGGACTGTAGGTGGCGCCAAGTGCTTATTGTTGTTTGTTCATGTCAGTGACGCGCCACTGTTCAAAAGTTTGGACTTTGAAAGAAATGTATACTTTTATTTAGCAGGAAAACCTTAAATTGATCAGAAGTGACAGTAAAGATGTTACAAAAGATTTCTATTTGAAATAATGTAATTCTTTTTTTAATTTCTATTCACCAGAAAATCCAGAAAAAAAAAATTTGAATAGCAAATCAGATCATGTGACACTGAAGACTGGAGAAATGATCACAGGAATAAATGACGTTATCTATTTTAAAATATATTAAAATCGAAATCGTTACTTTAAATGCCAATAATATTTCACATTATTATTGTTCTACTGTATTTTTTAATTATATAAATGCAGCCGGCTTAGTGAGCATAAGAGACTTAATTAAAAAAAAAATTCAACAACTTAGTGACCACAGACTTTTGAATGGTAGTGTATATGTGCATTCTGAATTTTAAAAAATATTTACTGAATTGATTAGTTCATTTTTTTGTGTAATTATAACTTGCAGGCTTTCGTGCTGGTGAAAGAGTTCATAATAACTTTCATAATGCCCAGTGTTAAATTGTCAAACATTACAATTTGTGGAAAACAATTGTGAGAGAGACGTATCCCTAAGATTTCACAAGTTTTGGATTATTAGAAGGGTTTGGATTTTATGAAGGATTAATAGACGCAAATGTTTTTATCTCAGAGATTTTTAGATTCCTTGTGGGATGATGATTTTATGCATTTTAAAAGTTCTGTCACTTTATCCTGAATCCTGATAAAAACTGGATTTGATTTTCTGATATTGAAATTTAAAAATATGTCTTAATTCTTCCAATGCTGCATGGATACCTCACCTTACTGCACTTATGCATGCTGTGCCAAAACCAGTAAAAAAGGGCTTTTTTCATCTCTGTATTAAATGTAACTAACTTTCTAAGAATGTTATTAAAGCAATTTGCATAATACCCAAAGTATTGTTTGATATTTTTTGGACAGAAGCTTTTAAAAAATAATGAGCTTTTCTTGTGGCACATACACAATATTGTTTGTTGAACATTTTTTTTGCAACTGAAATTCATATAGAAATGTGTTAAGTTATGGCATAACATTTTTCAAATATATCTGAACAACACTAACCTTATATAAAAGTCAAGTTAAAAGTTCAGCCATATTTTGCTAGGGACTGTAGGTGGCGCCAAGTGCTTATTGTTGATTCATGTCAGTGATGCACCACTGTTCAAAAATGTTTACTTTTATTCAGCAAGGGCACATTCAGTTGATCAAAACTGACAGTAAAAACATTTAAAGAATCCTGAAAAAATGTATCGCAATTTTCACAAAAAATATTGGTCACACTTTATAAATACCAAAATAGTTTAATATTGATACTAATAATGTTTCTTGATGATTTCTGAAGGATCATGACACTGAAGACTGAAGAAAATGGGTTTTAACAGAAAATAGATTTTTAATTGTAATATTTGACAATATTACTGTTTTTACTGTATTTTTTGATCAAATGAATGCAGTCTTGGTGAGCATAAAGGACCCCTTAAAAAGACAATTACTTATTTCAAAAACATTACAAAATCTTACAAAACACACCCCAAACTTTTGACCGGTAGTGCATACTGTAGTGACCAAACACTATACCCAATGATAGAGACCCATTTGTAGGATTTAACACATACATCTTTCATATATGTGCTTTAATGTTCAAGGTATTTGAAATGAAATGGATTTGTACAGCGTCATGTAGCTTTAAAGTTATTATGCTTTACTCTTGGGGAAAGAGGCAAACAGCAACCAGTAAAAGGAAAAGCCAGTGCCTAAACAGAATCACAAAGAAAAAGGAGACTTATCTTAATACTGGTATGCACTTTATATGAACCTTTATATGAAGTTTTCATGATTGACCATCTACTGTGTATGGTTTTGTACCTGCTACTGTGATGGCCATCGTCAAACGGTACAGAAGGACGTCAGTAGTGCCTCCTTTAATGTGGATAGGCAGACCGTTATCCTCCTGTAAATGGGGATAATACATTTGACAAAAAATATGTATTATTTGAAAAGAAGTAATCTTTGCAGACAGAAAAGTGTTTCTTCCAATCAGATATACTACTAAAATATTTTTAATTATTCGTAATGTATTTATTTCACCTTAACTTACTACATGTTTCTTTTAGTCACTATTTGTGTAGTTATTACATAATGTTTACTAAAGATTAATAAATGTCTTTGCACTTTCCTAAGATGTTGTATAACTACAACATGTAGAAGATTCATGTTATTGATGCTGACAGTATGAAAAACACTTGCAATATGGTTTATGCATACAGAGTAACCTTCAAAATTATACAGGACAGAGCCGGTTTTTTTTTATTGTTGAGTTTATTGGATTCATGTGCAAATTCACACTCCATCTGAACTGATTAATAGTTTATGTATAGGAGTGTATTTTGGACTAAACTTGTCTTACCAGGAAAACCTTCTGACTTTCCGGCACCTGGTTTTTCATTTGCCGGACTGTTGTGCTAAACGCCCGGGAGGCTAGACGTGGAAGAGTCTGAAAGAGTGAAGGAGAAATATACTTAAAAGGACCAACATTTGTATTTCAGCATGGACTTGCACAATTTAAGGATGTGAGAAACTGAATCATATTTAATGATCTTCCGTCAATCTGAGATGGACAGTTTTATGTTTAACATCTCAAAATCCTAGATAATGTACAGTGAAAGAATTTGGTTTTGAAACAAATTTCACTCAGAAATTTCTGAAAAAAAAAAAAAAATCAACACATTGAAGGAGAAAAACTGAAAAATCAATTTCTTAATTAGTTCTTAAAATTAGTTACAACTTTTATTTTTTTTAAATTTTTTTACAGTGTAAATGGTCCCACTTGATATTAAGTGTCTTTAACTATGTACCAACATTTAAATTAATCATTTTATACAATGCACTTATTGTGTACATACTGTCAGGGTTCTGCCCTGGCAGCCTTGTCTTTGTCTCTGTTTCATGTCTCTATGTGTGTGTTGTGCTTGAACTTGTGGTTTTGTTTGTGTGCCATGTGCTTCTTTGTTCCTGCCTCCTTGTTTCCCTGTACCACGCCCTCTTGTCTAGTTTAGTCCTCATTAGCCTGAGTGTCACCTGTTGCTAATGTTCTCTGTTCCCTTGTTTGAGTCCTCGTTTACCTGAGTGTGTACACCTGTTCCTCTCGTTCTAAGCTCCCTTTTTATGAGTGCTCTTTTCCTCATGTGTTTGCCAGTTCGTTAAACGTTGTACTACTGTGTACTTCTGTGCAACATAGTGTTTCTTGTTTCTAGAGTTTTCTGTGATTTATTTGTAGAAGTACTTTGTGCCTTAGTTCTACCATCAGTCCTGTTTGTCTAATCTTCTGTCTCCAGTCCTGCTAGCAGAGCTCTCCTGGCAGCTAACACTCTAAGCTTTGGAGGAAGCCTGGTGCTGGGCCTGAGATTCCTGTGTGCCTTGCTGTTGCACTTGCAGTTTCCTGTCTGGTTTCTGGTGGTAGCCTCAGGGCTCCTACTATTCTGCCATTGCTACTCTCCAGCCTACAGACACCTTGTGCAACTATCTACGGCAGCTCGGCTAGCTTCTACCCCTGTCTTAGTGTCATCCTTGCCCATTGTCTGGACTGTTCACCTCTCCCACCACATCCTGTCATCTGTCTGCTGTTTGTCAATAAACCTGTTAATTCACATTCTGCATTTGAGTCCTCCTTCAGAGACCCGTGACAGAACGAACTGGCCAATTCAGGACTCAGCAGAATGAGCATCAAGATCCTGCCACCTGCTAACTTCCAGGAGAGGATGGCTCGTCATCATGGTCTAACTTCCCTTCGCCAGGATGGCTTTGAGGTTGGGGGTTTTGCTCAATTCTTCTGGACCATGTCTGTGGGGCTAGATTATAATGATGCTGCTCTCAAGGATATCTTTAACTCCTGCCTGGATGACCCCTTGCCTGCATGGGAGATGGATTCTCTCCGTATTCTGGATTTCTGGGGTTTCTCTCGGTACCTTGGTAATCGCAGTAAGTGGGGAATGCCGCCAAGTCCACCAGAATCTGCTTTCAACAACCACCCTGCCCTTCCTCACCTGTCTCGTCACATTTATGATCCTCCTCTGGCTAGCACTAAGAAACTAAGACTCCGACGAAAGAGGGCAGGTCAGTCCACCACAGCTACCCCAGAGTCAGTCAAACCAATCACAATCATCTCTCAGGCATCCAGGTCAGTCCCAGTCACAGTAAGAACTGAGTCAATATCTGTTATTCAAGACACCGTCAAATCAACCGCTGTCTTCCCTCAGACTATTACGTCAGTTCCAGCCATCTCTGAGTCTGCCGATTTAACCTCCGTTTTCCCTCTAACAACCCAGAGTTTCCCTGTTACTTCAGAGTCTGACAGATCTGTTTCAGTCAGTGCTGATTCAATGAAGGTCACTGCTTTTCTGCCGGGGTTGGCCGAGTTAGCTGTTGATACTACAGAAGCAGCCCAGCAAGCAGTATCAGCTCGTCGAAAGAGGAAGAATAGGAGAAAGGCTAGCACTGAACAATCTATGTTTCTCCTTTCCCAAGCTCCAGTTCCAGTTGTTCCTGAGGTATCAAGTCCAGTGAATTCAATTTCTTCTAAACCTTTGAATAGTAATGCCATTCCCTCTAAGACAATCTCTGCCAGTCCTCTTATGTTGACTGAGCCCAGTCCCAAGATTCCTGTTGCCATTGCCGCAGAGGCCTTTTCTGAATGTTTGACAAGTCTTGTCAAGATTCTAGAAATTCCTGCCAAACCTGTCGTGTCAACCAGTTCTGAGTCCGCTTCAGAGAGGGCGGTCCCCGAGCAGTCCGCTTCAGAGAGGGCGGTCCCCGAGCAGTCCGCTTCAGAGAGGGCGGTCCCCGAGCAGTCCGCTTCAGAGAGGGCGGTCCCCGAGCCCTCCGCTTCAGAGAGGGCGGTCCCCGAGCCCTCCGCTTCAGAGAGGGCGGTCCCCGAGCCCTCCGCTTCAGAGAGGGCGGTCCCCGAGCCCTCCGCTTCAGAGAGGGCGGTCCCCGAGCCCTCCGCTTCAGAGAGGGCGGTCCCCGAGCCCTCCGCTTCAGGGAGTAAAGTTACTAAGCCAACTTCAGAGAGAGCTGTTTCTGAGCCATCTTCAGAGGAAGCAGCTCCTGAGTCCGCTGCTCCAGAGAGTGCAGCCCAGGAGGGCGCTCCCGAGTCAGTCCCCGTGCACGCCAGTGCAGCCCAGGAGGGCGCTCCCGAGTCAGTCCCCGTGCACGCCAGTGCAGCCCAGGAGGGCGCTCCCGAGTCAGTCCCCGTGCTCGCCAGTGCAGCCCAGGAGGGCGCTTCTGAGTCAGTCCCTGTCCATGATTTCAAGACGTTCACCAATCTTGTCAGTCCTGTCTTTGCACCCAAGCCTGTCAAGCCCAGTTGGATGTCCAGACCAGTTAGGCCAGTTCCTGTGTCCAAGAGTATCTCCAATCAAGTTCCCATTCCTCCCATCCCACCTTCTGCGTTTCCTGGTTATGGTTTCCCTAAGCCGACACCTCCGTTGTCAGCCTTGAACTTTTTTCCCAGTTCTGTTCCCACCTATCCCATCCCTCCCTCTGTTTTCCCTGGTCAGTTTGGGACTTCCATGTTTACACCCCACCCACCCCCCCAGCTGTTGCCTCCGTGGACTTCTATGCCTGTTTTGGACGCCTGGAGGCGTCCATTAGAGAGGGGGTACTGTCAGGGTTCTGCCCTGGCAGCCTTGTCTTTGTCTCTGTTTCATGTCTCTATGTGTGTGTTGTGCTTGAACTTGTGGTTTTGTTTGTGTGCCATGTGCTTCTTTGTTCCTGCCTCCTTGTTTCCCTGTACCACGCCCTCTTGTCTAGTTTAGTCCTCATTAGCCTGAGTGTCACCTGTTGCTAATGTTCTCTGTTCCCTTGTTTGAGTCCTCGTTTACCTGAGTGTGTACACCTGTTCCTCTCGTTCTAAGCTCCCTTTTTATGAGTGCTCTTTTCCTCATGTGTTTGCCAGTTCGTTAAACGTTGTACTACTGTGTACTTCTGTGCAACATAGTGTTTCTTGTTTCTAGAGTTTTCTGTGATTTATTTGTAGAAGTACTTTGTGCCTTAGTTCTACCATCAGTCCTGTTTGTCTAATCTTCTGTCTCCAGTCCTGCTAGCAGAGCTCTCCTGGCAGCTAACACTCTAAGCTTTGGAGGAAGCCTGGTGCTGGGCCTGAGATTCCTGTGTGCCTTGCTGTTGCACTTGCAGTTTCCTGTCTGGTTTCTGGTGGTAGCCTCAGGGCTCCTACTATTCTGCCATTGCTACTCTCCAGCCTACAGACACCTTGTGCAACTATCTACGGCAGCTCGGCTAGCTTCTACCCCTGTCTTAGTGTCATCCTTGCCCATTGTCTGGACTGTTCACCTCTCCCACCACATCCTGTCATCTGTCTGCTGTTTGTCAATAAACCTGTTAATTCACATTCTGCATTTGAGTCCTCCTTCAGAGACCCGTGACACATACTGTATATGTTTGATATTTATATTCAAAAAGCTTCTAATCTAACCAAAATCTGTCCCACCACACCTCTATCTCCTCAATAGCAGCACAAGTGTTTTATAATACACCATGAGTATAGATATTACCTAATAATAGTGAGACCAAAATAATAATAGTAATTTACTTCAGAAATAGCAATAGGCCTATTTTAAAAGTTCCCTTCATTTTCCATTCAAGTAATGCAATTTTTTTCTTTCCCTGCCATTGTCAGAATTTTCCAGCAATCCATACTTTCATTGTTATAGGAGCCATTATTAGGCATTTTCTGAAAGAGTACACAATCTCTGTTATCACGGAATTATTAAAAATAAGCGAATAAGAAGCAGAAACGAGTTATTGATCGAAGCATTGCTAACGCACATGTAAACTAACGTCATCAATCATTAATCAGCATATAAATCAAATTGAATATTTTGCTTCAAATTTGTGAAAAGCATATGTTTGTCTCATATGTTTGACATATATCATGCGTTAAAGGCATAGTTCTCCCCAAAAAATTAAAATTCTGTCATCATTTACTGAATTTCTTTCTTCTGCTGAACATAAAAGAAGATATTTTGAAAAAAGTCGTAACCATAGTTGAACTAATTTGAAAGTCAATGGCTACCGTAAACTATTTGGTTACCCATATTCTTCAAAATCTTCTTTTGTGTTCAGCAGAAGACAGAAACTCATACAGGGTTGGATCAAATTGACAGTGAATAAATGACAGAATTAACATTTTTGACTGAACTATCCTTTTAAGGACGAAACATGTGGAAGGAATGTAACATTTTATGGTTCTGAAGGTCGAGCTCAGTTCACGTGGGGAAGTTGTGTGTTGTGATTTTAGCCAATTGCTGCTCACCAGCACCTGGAACAAACCAATCAAAGCGTAATACACACTGGGGGAGGGCTGAGAATGTCCCTCCCTTCTGTACTCCTCTCTCCACCAGTGTGTGTGTTTGGCTGCATGTAGGCATGCTAAATGTGGAGAGACTAATGGTGACACAACCTCCTGACTATCCATAAAGATAAAAAATAAACAGTTGTGTCCATTTCAAATGAGTACACGTTTAAAGCAGAAACTGAAGACGACGAGTTTACAAGCAAACCTCTGACTGCTTTAATGCCATGTAGAGTATTAGTTTTTTTTTTTTTAAAAATATAAAGATTAGTTAAAAAAAAAAAAGATACAATCAACTTTGAAATAAAAGTAGCATCAGGCAATCGTTGATCGAGTCTTTACTTTAGAGGTAGTTTACGGCTATCAGTTATTCAACAGCCACCAAAAAATGCCAGAGTTACAATCTTCAACAACAAATTACAAAATGTGTTCGTATAAAAAATTAGGCTACCTCCGAACAAGGCCTGCCGTACAATGGTCAGAGTATCAATCTGTGGCATAGTTCCTGTTTCACAAGTATTTTCGGAGTAGATTCTTCCTGATCACACATCTACAGCTGTCGGGGTTGTTAACCGTGGAGGAATTAAGAAGAACAGCAGTGTATTTACCAGTAAATGCCTCATGTCCGACGCTGCTCTCTGTTAAGCTTGTTGATTCTTGTGTAGTCGGGGCCCTTACAAGGACACACACATATTGCAGAGTTTTTGAACTGGAGCCAGGTGCGATCTCACTCGGTCAGGTGGAAAGACAACCCTGAACAGTCAAGAAACCAGCCGATTCAATACATACAGTACAACACTAAACTGATTTGTGCAAAATCAAAAATGTACAAAATCACAATTAGCCAAAAATGTATTCATTTCAACAATGCAATACTTAAAATATTTATGGATTTTGGTTGGACTTAACAATTTTGGCTATTCTAAAACTATTTTGCAACTTCACCATATTAATTATTAGAATATATAATGTAATGTAATAAAAGAAAACAATTTGCATTTAATTTGTCACAACAATTTTGCAACTTATACCTTAAAATAGAAAATAATCAAATAATAGCTATCAGAAAATAAGCACAGAATTTTTTTCTTTCCTATTACATTGTCATTATGGTTTACATCTATCAAAGGAAATTTTAAGTGAAATTTTTCTCTGTAAAATAATATCATGTATATTTTGTATTATGGTGGAATATGCACATTTAATAAAAGAATGTTTAATTTAAAGACATCATTTGGGACAGTCAACTATATCAAATTATTGTTTTATGTACTGTAAAAAAATTGGCTGCCTTAAATTTTCAAGTACAATCAACTTGGATGTAACTTAAATTACTCAAATTACTAATGAAAAATTAGTTCATTAAATTAGTTAGTTAAATTACTTCTGAACTGAGTTTAAAATGATTTTAATTTTGAATAACGTTTTAAGTTAATTAAATTAGTTAGTTAAATTAGTTAGTTAAATTACTTTTGAACTGAGTTTAAAAATGATTTTAATTTTGCATAATGTTTTATTTATTATTTTTTTAGTGTATTTTGGATTCATTTTGTGTATTTTGACTTATATTGATTAATTAAAAGGCAATGTAAAACCATATGTTGTCATAACTTATTGATAGGATAACTTTTTCATTCGAGAAACAGACGAGAGATATTTACTTTCTCAAATTCTCCCCAGTCTCTTACTTGTAATGTGTCGCAGTATCGGTTCCTTTTCTCAGGCATGCAAACAGAGCATCCTCTAGTCAAGATTGTGGTGTGTATCGCTTCTGCATTATCAGGGAAAGGAAACTGAAGCTGGCACTCTGTCACAGGCTTTCAAAACGGCTGGACCAACATGAGCTATGGTAAGCATTTTCTGTTGTTTGCAAGAGCTATATTTAACCTTAGACTCTATTGTTTTGAATTCTATACTTAAACTGTATTGTTTCAGACAAACACATCCTCTGGGCCTGCACCACTGCTCTGTTCACTTGTTTGGTACTGGCGTATGATAACGGGCATTGCTCTGGGATTGTCACGAAGCAGTAAGACACAATTATTCAAACATTTATCTGTCAGGAAAGCAGAATGGTTAAAGAGTCATATGGCACTGCTTTGTCATTTTCAGCTTATGCAACTGGACTTGTATGCAACTCACTCTTCAATGGCCTGGGAGTTTCTGTATAGTATGTCTTTATATTATATATATCACAACAGTGCTAGCAAAACTTTACACAACACTACATTGCAATCCACCTGAAATCATGTGAATCTTTTAACTCACATTGATATTGAAAACTAACTGTCTGTCGTTCATGTTGCACATGCTATCACTTCTACTTAACACGATAATTTATATTTTTCCATCTTCCCACAGGATCTTAACAACAAAACCATTTGCAAAATACCTGAGACTGTTCGCAACTGGACCATCCATGGCCTATGGTGAGAAATTCAGTGGATGTTCCCACTTCTGCTGTATTTTTTATTGTTTCTCTAACATTATTCATTTCTTTATTTTGAAATCTGAGATTTATTCTGATGACAAAAAAAAAAAAAAAAAAAAAACATTGGACATCCACTGGAATTAAAAACATTATTACAAGCTTACCGTTTTGAATCGAGCTATGGCAAGCAGATAGTTTTGAACACTTGCTGGTTATGTATTTTCTCAAATATGTATTTTGAATCATTTTTAACCCTAAAAAAGCTATAGACTTCAGCTTTAACTGTTTTTCCAATGACTCTTAGGCCTATGCGTACAGGTCACTGCTGTGACTGCTGGCCGGTATTTCATTCCCATCTTCAGGTAAACATGTCTCAATCCTCTGTTTGTTTTTTTATTATTTTAAAAAGTAAAATATACAATTTGATCGATCATGCTTATGTTCAGGAAATCGAGCCTGAACTCACTCAGCTCTGGCCATCATTAATCAAAGGAAAACACTTCTTCTTCTTCTGGTAAACAAGTCTTATTATCTTTTCATGTTTTATTATATGTGCTTTGTTAAATATGGGGTTGTTCTAGACTACTTAGATTAGTTAAATCAGTATTCATTTTGTGGAATACTGAATCTGTTTTTGTGCAGGTGAGATGAGTAGACGTGTTTACAGGCGTCAGGGCGGGACAACCCGTCACTCACATGAGATTCACCAATAGCAAACCACAACCATCTAATCAATTCCCCATGGAGAAAATAAGCCACGCTCTACACTCTTTTTCTTGTTCGATAAGCCGTTTCATGCCTATAGGCTATAACAATAGGAAAGAAAAGACTCAACTTTTTTTTCATTCTGACTTTAAAGTTATGTTGATTTAAGTTTACAAGAGTATAGGAATTTAAAAATATATATAGTATATTTGCATGGGCAAAGCCTTTCTCCTTTACAATGAACAGAGCATCTAAAACGTTTTGTCTGATAGCAGCTCAGCTGTATTGAGAAGTGATAGTGATTGATTTAATTGGCAGGAGGGAGGAATGGATTAAACACGGGACGTGTGCAGGCTGCGATGAGACCATGGGTTCACCACTTCTATATTTCCAAGCTGCAGTCAAGCTTCGGAAACTCTTTGACATTGATAGGTGGGTGTTATTAGTACATATAGCATGATATCTTATCATGAGCTCATCTATTTGTCCCTTCTATTTTTTGTAGTGTCTTGGAAAGCTCTGGAATCAAAACCTCATGTAATGTGTCATATAAGGTAGGTTTCTGGATTCGCCATGAATCACGATGTATCATATTTAATACAATTATGAAACAACGCTTCATTAATCTTTCCATTATGTGATCTGCAGCATGACGACATCCGTGGCGCCCTGACCCCGCTGTTTGGAAACAACTTTGATTTGCAATGTGTGACAGACAGCGATGTGAGATGAAATGTTAAATTGAATTAATATGAGGCAGTAAACAAATACATTGAGTTGGGTTAAAGGGATAGTTCACTTTGAAATTAATTTTTGATATGTTTTAGCTTACCTCAAGGGCATCCAAAGTGTCTTTGTTTCCACAGCATTTTCAATTTTGACATTTTTCGGTCAAAGCGGTGTTGTCTGTTAGTTTTAGGGGAACCACCTCAAAGAGCATGCACAGAGAAGTCAAAATTAAACATGATTTAATGACTCGTGAATGTACACACTGGCTTAAAGGAGAACTCCGGCGAACAATGAACCTTTGGTCTAATAAAACATCGGTACCTAGTCAATCGTTCTCTGAGTTTTTTTTTTCATGATAATCTAATGTAAAGAGTTTTATCTCTAAAAACTGTTTAGCGTATATAATGCTAGTAATGGGGCCATTGACTAAGTAAAAAGAAATCGCTAGTTTTACACCACTAACAAGGCTCAAAATAGCCCCAGACTAACACAGTAACATAATGAGGCTCCACACATGCAAAACGAATCATTGAGAACTTTGTAAGTGTACAGACCGTTTAATAAGAAGATACTTTATGAAGACAGTTCACTTCGTGTATACAGACAGGAGCCATCTTAAAAAATAGTCTCGATAAGTCAATCCCCGAACGCCGTTCATACAGTTCAGAAGTTCGCTGAACTTCATACAGTTCAGATCACTCAGCACGACGTTCGTGGTTTGACTTATCGAGACTATTTTTTTAAGATGGCTCCTGTCTGTATACACGAAGTGAACTGTCTTCATAAAGTATCTTCTTATTAAACGGTCTGTACACTTACAAAGTTCTCAATGCTTCGTTTTGCATGTATGGAGCCTCATGAGCCTTGTTAGTGGTATAAACTAGCGATTTCTTTTTACTTAGTCAATGCCCCCATTTCTAGCATTATACGCTAAAGTAGTAATAGTTTTTAGAGATAAAACACTTTACATTCGATTATCATGAAAACAAATCTCAGAGAACGATTGACTATGTACCGATGTTTTATTAGACCGGTTCATTGTTCGCCGGAGTCCTCCTTTAAGATACGAAACGAGCGGTTTGTATGAGAAAACGAACAGTATTTATATAGTTTTTACCTCTTGTTAACAGCCGTCGAATTGATCTGAATCAGATGTTCAACCGAACCGTCTCCAAAGTTTTACGCCGGAAGTGATCTTTCGCGCGTCTACATCACGCATTGTTTACACGGAAATTTCGGAAGTTTTACCTTTCACTAAACAAATTTAGATATACGGGAAATCGCAAGACGATTTCGACATATCTAAATATGTTTAGTGAAAGGTAAAACTTCCGAAATCTCCGTGTAAACAATGCATGACCTAGACGCGCGAGAGATAACTTCCGGCGTAACTTTGGAGATGGTTCAGTTGAACATCTGATTCTAATCAGTTCGACGGCTGTTAACAAGAGGTAAAAACTATATAAATACTGTTCGTTTTCTCACACAAACCGCACGTTTTATGTCTTAGGCCATCAGTGTGTACTTACATTTACGAGTCATTAAATCATATTTAATTTGGACTTCTCTGTGCATGCTCTTTTAGGAGATCCACGTAGACCTGCATTAAATGACCGACAGACAACAATGGTTTGACCAAAAAATGTCAAAATTGAAAATGCTGTGGAAACAAAGACACCTACATCTTGGATACCCTTGAAATAAGCTAAAACATATCAAAAATTAATTTCAAAGTGAACTATCCCTTTAACAAATCAGCCAAAATCATGAATGAATAATAAAAAAAGTTACAATCAGTACTAATCCCAAAAGCATAATAGTCATTTCCATATTTTCAGGGCCGTGAAGCATGGATTCAGCTGAAGATCCATCTCTTCAGGAACCAAACCCTTGGATGCTCCAAACAAGAACAAGAGGAAGTGTTCAATACATTAGCGTCGTTTAACAGCCCAGGACATCCCTGTCCGAAAAACACCACCATTTTTTATGTTCCAATTAACTATGAGAAGCCTCATAAGCCCTGTAACTAAGAGAAGCTGTAGCTATAGACTTTCACTGTTCTCACGTTTGACTGTCCTCTTTCAGTCCTCAGACCTGATTCACTTAAAGAAAAATGCTACAGTGCATAATTCCTAAAGTATTCACACTTGGGGTATTTTTCCCTCTCAATAAATATGCAAATTACAAGGGTTAAAGTGTTTTTAAAGACCTTTAATGTACTCAGAATATACACCAATTGTCAATGACATTAAAGGTTCAGAATGTAATGGAATATGATGTTGAATGAAGTTTGGTGGTGGAAGGACACAGTGGTTGAACTACTGGAGCTCAAATCACTCATAAGTGAAAACAAAATTTGATTTCCTTTTTATGGTTGATGTTCCGAATATTGGCAGGCAGTAAAATGGTTTAAAACGAACAGCCAAAAGCTATAAAATATTTCATGCGAACACTCAGGATGGATGGATTTAGGAACTCGGTTCACATTTTATTTGACATGGAATCAATTTGCCAAAAAGTACGATTCTACATCACAGATGAAACAAAAAACAGACTAATCACTAAAATCTTCGACCAATAAAAACAAAAAAAACAAACAAAAAAAAAACAGCTCACTGAAACAGACTAATCTGCAGCATCTGCAAAAAGTATTCAATACTTAAATGTGTGGGTTTCTTCACACTTCCAATTTGCCAAGGAAGCGGAGATTGAGAATCTTCAGTTGCTCATCCAGTTCCATTCTAACAATGCCGTCTTCGCCATCAATACTGAGCAGGACTCCTGTGGCCTCCCTGTCCTCTCCCAGAATCACTTTCACCTGAAGAAGAGCACACGTTTTCATTTCAGAGAAACTTTTTTTCAAATGTCAACGATTATGACACATACACACAATCACAAGGGCCTAGCGTGCGCGGTTCAGCGGGAGGAGCGACGTGCTTAAATTTAAGCGATATTCTGTGTGGTTGCTTCATTTCTTAAACTCCTCACGCCTTATCTGCCAATATAGCTGCAACGATGAGGAAAACACAATGGAGACAAGCAAAAATTGGGCTGGTTGAGTCTCTTTACCTCAGTGTCTGTGGCATGGATTTAATTCATGAGTGATTTCAGACTGCATAAAAGGTGAATATATGCTTCATTGCTTCTTGCAGCTATTACTTTCATGGTTATGGTTTTGCAGTTCTTTAAAAATGTATAAATAAAATATAAAATGCATAGTGAAAAAGTGAAAATATATAAAAGTGCATGTTACATAATGTTTAACATTGTTTTTGTTTACATCACATTTACATTTAGCAGACTCTTATTAGGGCTGGGTATTGACACAAATTTCATAATTTGATTTGATGCAATATAGATTATTTTGGATATCAGGTACAATATATGGCCAATTTTCTCAACTCAAGGAAAACAAATCTCTTAACTAATGCTGTAAAATGGTGTGTATACAAACACTTTAATTAGAGATTTATTTTTTTATTACAATAATAAAAAAATAAATAATATAATAAAATGAATTATAAACATTTAAATGGTCGCTCTCGTAAAAACTTATATTTATTTAAACATGCATTAAATATTACAGAACATATAATATAATGAATATGTATTGGTGCATATATTTAGCAAAATACTCCTCTCAAGAGTTAATTTTTCAAGCGGACTAATGAGTTTATGGTCACTGGATATGAGTTTTCTGAGGTAAATGTGATGTTACATGACGCCCCAGCTATCAATATGCGGGAGACTTGGGATTGTAAACTGTGGCTTTTTTGAAGAGTGAACGGTGTCAACTCGCTGGAAATCCGAAAAACGTTCACACCTGCGACTTAAATGATCAGTTTGCCATGCTATATTCTAGAGGAGATTGACCATAGACTCACAGCACTTTTTTTTTTCGCTTGGCACGCCGACCGGACAGGGCAGCATCGACCATTCCATTTTTTAATACGAAGTTCGAGATTGTGACTTAATTTCGGTGAATTTCGATTTGACACCCTTAGTAAGTAATCAACTGAGGAAGTTTCATGGTGATATCTAATATTTTCACCTGTAGTGTCTCACCTTAAAGGGTTAGTTCACCCAAAAATGAAAATTCTGTCAGTATTTACTCACCCTCATGTTGTTCCAAACCTATCAAATATCTTCCTTCGTGTTCAGCAGAACAAATAAACACATAGAGGTTTGGAACAACATGAGGGTGAGTAAATACTGACAGAATTTTCATTTTTGGGTGAACTAACCCTGTAAGGGAAAAGGAACGTTTAAAAAAGCATTTTTTTAATAAGGTTAAGTGCTCATGGCTCATTTTGTTCATTTGCAAGTACAAAATATATACTGGATCATAATTTTCTTGCCATGATATTTAGTAGATTGGGAAATGGTTCCATATGTTCAGCAGTACCTTGTTGTTTTTGGTTGGTGTAACAGGTTCCAGGTGTTCACTTGAAATACTAACAACCTTCTCTATGTCTTGCAGGAAAACCGAGCACATCCCCCCCTTTGTGAAAGAGAGAAAAAAAAGGCTTCCATGAATTAAACACTTTTTTCCCCACAAACAAAACATGATATTTCAAATCGTTATCTCTCAACAATCATGTTATGAATGATAAAATTTAATGGGGCATAACATATCACAACATCGACAAACATAATTATCAAAATCAGCTCCGGGCATCTCAACCCAACAGAGAGAATGTAAATCCACAACCCACATGCTTCTGCTTGTAGAATCTTTCTGACAGTCTCAGCACATTTACTTTTCAAAAAAAAAAAAAAAACTCGACTCACAGTCACGCTTCGGATGATACCGGTCTGATTGATGACGCCTCCATCCAGGAATGTGTCTTTCACACGCACCATGATATCTGTGGTGACCCAGTCATTGGAGGCTTGGTCGATGTTAGATCCAGGGGTGTGAGGGTTGTATCCTCCCGGAGATGGAGCTCCAGGAGTCATGGGACTGTACCCTACCGGACTGGGACTCGGACTGGCCTGAGGAGCACAATTTAATACTGATTTATTCAGATAAAGAGTCCCTTATTGCTCTAAGCTCGAGATGCACTGTAATTGCGGCTGATTTTCGGCTGAGACAACAAAAAATAGTTTCCAGTCTATTTAATTTGCTTTTCTCTAGTTTTGACTGAATCAGTGTCAATCTGACTATCGCCTAGTCGATAATACGTGAAAGATTAGATACATTTCTATTGAATGTGCAGGTAGGCAGACAGCAATTATGTGTGTGACCATGAACTCACACAAATGCGACAACATCAAATTTTAGCTCTTACTTTTTCTCAGAAATTTTTAACTTACTTTTTTAGCTGCCAAAATGTTACCTGGTAGGCCATTGGTGATGGGGTGGGGTGATAGCTGGCGGGCGAGTGCGTGTTTTGGTACCCCACTGGGCTTGGGGCCACTTGGTGGTAACTCTGAGGGCTGGGGCTGGGCTGGTAAGATCCCTGTGGAGAGGGCGCTGCATACGGGGAGAACTGGTCGGTGTTGTACCTATGGTGCAAAAATGAACTCAGTTGAAGATGATCGAGCCAGGTCACAAGCATCTGAGCATCTGAATAAACACTCACATGGCAGGAGTCCCAGGAGTCTGAGGGTTATACTGAGGGTTGACCTGTGGAGAGGGCACTTCTGGGTAGCCAGGAGTCTGAGGGTTGGGTGTACCACCATAGCCTTGAGGAGATGGAGAGGGCTCGTCATCATAAGCAAACTCATATTCTTCATCGGGCCTGAAAACAGAGGGAAAATAAGTTGAAGTTGGTGTGTATGCGAGATTGTTTGTTTGCACTGATCATCTCACTTGGCTTCTTACCGTGATGGTGTGTTTGGATTGTTGGGGTCCCATGCACCGCTCTGACCTGGCGTCCTGCTGCCATCATGCAGAGGAGTCTGAGAGCCATAGTGAGGAGTTCGGCTTCCTGTGAGCAATGAAAGACTTAATAAAAAAAACTAAATGTGTTACATAACATCAAGATCTATAAAAATATATTGTTTCTTACCATCATGGAGGGGTGTCTGGCTACCATACATGGGAGTACGTGAGGCAGTTCCATAAATGGGCGTCTGGGAACCATACATTGGGGTTCGTAAATGGGTGGAAGACTTTCCTTGCCTTTCTTTACCACCCCTGGTTCAAAGAGAGCAAAAAGGTTGAGAGAAGATATTCAGGAAAACAAAGTTCACAGAAGAAACTTGTTTTACAAGACAGTCAAGTAATAAAACCTACACAACAACTCAAAAGTTTAGAGACAGTAAGAATTTTTTTTTCCCCAAAAGATTCACCAAAAAAAGATATTCAGCAAATTGCTAATTAATTGATCAAAATTGATAGCTTTGCCATGAAAGGACAAAAATACATTTTAAAATGTATTAAAATGTATTATAGTACTTTTGATCAAGTTAATGCAGCCTTGGTGAATATGAAACCTTTCAAAACTTTTTTTTTACATTTTAAATGGTAGTGTCACACAGATATCAGATATCAACACACTAAAAGTAACTATCTACTCAGGAATCTCTGAGGTATGCTATTTGCAAAGCTTGTTCCAGCATTATCGATCCCTTTGCTGTCAGAGAACTCCTACAGTTGGACATGAACTATCAGTGATATGAGGCAGAAGTGTCAAACAACAGTTGTGGATCTCTGCTGCTTATATATTTATATTTTCTGTGTGGGAAACAGGGGCGGACCAAGAGAATTATTTAAAGGGTGACATCAGGACTGTGAGGGGTGGCAACACCAAAGCAAATAAGCCTTCAATTATCTATACTACATAATGCTATAATTACATACAAAATACAGCTTCAAGCGGCAATCATCAGTGTCCATGCAACGCTTACATTTTTATTTTATACTGGCAAAAATCTGGGGTGGCAATTTTTTTCTTAGTTTGTCAGATGCCATCCCATGCCACGCAGGTAGATCCGCCCCGGTGGCAAAACGTGATGTAAATGTGTTAAAGCAGAGCTGAGAGTAATGCACTTTCAATGGTAGCTTGAAGTTGTGTCATAAGTATGGAATAAAAAAAAAATGTAGAACAGGAAGGAGTTTTTCCTAAAAACTGCAGACAGATGACTGATAACATACACAGTTGTAAGACGCTGTCGGTCCACAGAAATGGTCTGGCAAGTTGAGTGGAGCTCTACCCTAGCGGTTGATTCTGTGGCATCCTTCACAACT